CCCCCACAGTCGAGACACTACATCTTCGCCATGCGTAACTGCTTCTACCTGATGCTGTGCTGTCTGCTGGCTGTGGTGCTTTCGCAGCTGGTGTGCTGCGTGCTGCTGTTGCCTCCCGTCATGGCCGCGCAGCACGTCATGTGGCTGGTCATGGTGGTCGTGCCGGCCATCAGCCTCTCGCTCATGGGGAACCCCAACGAGGCTCGAACCATGAGCATGGCCACCCACAAAAACACGGCGCACGTCAATAGACAGGTAAGTTCTGCGGAGATCGCGTAACATATCGACTGTATGAAATAACGTGCTGCCATAGGCCATTTTGAAAAGTGACGTATGACAGAGCTTTATCGATAATGCCAGCCAGCTAGCTGTTCAAATGTACTAAGTTCCAATTTTGAAATTTTGACATTGTAAAAAAAAAATTTCACTTTCTTAATCTTTGGTTTCTATTGCATCTGCACAAGTAATATTTTGTCAAAATTCAAAGTCGAAATGTTAAAAAAAAAGCACACACCAAAAAAAAAAAAAAGAACCATAACGTAGGTACAATTGGGTGAAGGGATGAAACCATTTTTTCTCTACCGTACCATAAAATTCAGCTTTCAGAGTGTAGTTCATCATATGAACAGTGCGCTGATGAATATACCTTCCTATAACGTGACTTCATGTATGTTTCGAAGGGAAGTGAATACTTTAACTCCAGAATCAGCCCATTTTTGTAGGTTAAGTGTGTGATACAGGGTTATTTTCTGACATGCTCACAAGGCAGTCATCTGTACAGACAATCACTTCCTACTTCATCCCTTGCGGGAGGGAGAAAGGGGGTGGGAAAGAATGATGGAATCTTAGGAGAAAGAGAAGGAGGGGGAAGGGGGGTGGGAAAGAAGGATGGAATCTTAGGAGAAAGAGAAGGAGGGGGAAGGGGGGGTGGGAAAGAATGATGGAATCTTAGGAGAAAGAGGAAGGAGGAAGATAGAAATGTGTAGGGAGATGGAGAGAGAGGGGAGCTGAGGAGAAAGAAGAGGGAGAGAGGGAAATAGGAAGGGATGGAAGGAGGGGAGAGAGAGGGGGAGAGAGAGAGAGAAGCTGGTTTTTTAAGATCATAATGGCACTCTCCAAGACCTTCACCTGTGTAAAACAACCACTTTTCTTCTTTACAAAGGATGGTCATCTTGGACAATTTCAATCGTGTCATCACAATTTTGTACCTTACTTTCTCTTTGCTTGGTGGTATAAATTGTTGCGGTTGCCGTTTGAGGTTCTCTTTGTCTATACATTTTTTCAGATGATCATCGAGTTCTTCGTCCAGTTCTGCACCCGGTTCCTGCCATCCATCGTGGTGGCTGTCGTCTGCTTCGCTGTGATCCTTCACTCGTTCTGTGTGGGCACCACGCCGGCCCGGTGTTCTCTCTACGACGTCGGGTAATGGTTGAAACGACTTTTGGGTAATGGTTGAAACGACTTGTGGGTAATGGTTGAAACGACTTGTGGGTAATGGTTGAAACGACTTGTGGGTTATGGTTGAAACGACTTGTGGGTAATGGTTGAAACGACTTGTGGAAAAATGTGCTGTGTACTTTCTCCTTTGTAAAAATTATAGTTTATGAATGACTTATTTATTGTGAGATGTTCTGACAAAATGAGTTACTTCTTGATTCAAGCCCTATGGAAATAAGATACATCACGCTTATAGGTGAAGTTTTTACAATTTATAAGTCCATCATCAATGATTTATTTATAGAGGCACCAGCCATCCATGTCCAGGTGCTGTTTTAGCCACAATTTATAAGTATGAAATAATAAAAGGCATGTATGTTCTACTTAAAGAATATGTCATCAATAGAAAATCTACAAATTTGACCCTAGTGTCGATTTTTGGCCAGTATCTCCATTTGTGGATTTTGATAAGTAACTCATTTTGTCAGCAAGCCTCACTTTGATTTTTCCCTTAGTTGAGTTCACAGAGATATTTTGCAGGTACTGTTGTAAGTTAAAGGTTACTATCCTGATTTTTATTTTTATGGACTTATCCTGAGTTTTTTCGCTCGACGGCTACAATTGTTTCGTTTTCGTCCACAGCCGTGAGGTCAACGGTACGAAAGTAGCCAGCGCCTGGACTGACAAGTTCCAAGGAGGGCTGGTTCTGGCTCAGAACATCTTCCATCTCTACTTTGTGATATTTTTAGGTACGTCTTCCACCTCTACTTTGTGGTATTTTTAGGTACAGTTGAAGTTGTCCAAAACGGCCACCCATTGTCAAAGAGAAAAGTGGTTGTCTTAGATGGATGGACGTCTTGATCAATGTCATTATAATATATATTTTTTTAATGCAAAGGGGGGGGGGGGTGAAGTGGCCGTTTGAACAGGTAGATCGTTAGATCAGGCTTGACTGTAATTCCCCTTTCTCCTAACCTATACTATGTTGTTCTTGACAATGTGACTGGACTATTATACATCAGTATGAATTTTTTAAATGGGGAAATATGTCACACCCCTAGAAGGACAGGGTTTTCACTCCAAGGTGGATAGTTCAGAGAGGACAGGATTCACATCTTATTTGTTAAGCATCAAATGGAAGAAAGACTTTTTGTGGGTACTAGGATGTTCATTTTTGTTCATTCATGATTGAAAATTCCCTGTGTGCTTTTAGAGTTGTCTGTCCTTCATTTTGAATCAGATACGCAATGTTAGTTGATTGAAATCACCCCCCCCCCCCCCACACACACACACACACACACACTTTATCTCTCTGTTCCCAGTGGCAATTTCCATGAGCCTGGTCCACTGGCAGGACCATCTGTGGCAGCGCTGTCCCCTCAGGAACTTTGTGTGGTCCTTCACAGCGGGAACTTTGTACGTGTTCAGTTTAGCTCTCTTGTTTGTTGTTGTTAAGAAAACTCTTGTAACACCTCAAATCTTCGGCACTTGTATGACATTATTGTGTTGCAAGTGCCATAAAACACTTACTAGAAAAAAAAAAAAACTTTTATCATCCTTATCTCTCCTCCTTTTTTTGTGTGTGTTTGTTACTCTCTTGTAACACATCTATTCTTCGGCACTTATATGACTTTATTGTGTCGCAAATCCCATAAAACTCTTACGAAAACAATTCAAATGTTTTCATTTTTTTCTGCTCACGGCAGGTTGATACTGCAGTTTGTATTCTCTGTGGTAGACAGTTTTGCCCGGAGGCAGTGGTTCGGATCCTCCATGGATCTGTCGGACGTCCACCCAGTGGTGTGGGTGTTGGGATGTGTGTGGCCGCTGGTCACCATATCCCTGAATGAGGTCGCCAAGAGGAGGGAGATCAAGTGAGTGGAAAGACTTTCCCCCTTGGTTTGATTTTTTGTCGGTGTATATTGTTTTGTTTTGTTTATGCTGTTCGCCAACAAGTGGCAGCGTCGGAGTGTTGGAATCGATGTGTACATGGGTGTGTACATGTGTGTGTGTGTGTGGGTGTGTTTTGGGGTTTTTTTCCGTGGGACTGACTGTATTCGAGCATACACTGGAGAGAGAGGGAGATGGAGAGAAAGGATCACAATTGGCACCGTACGGTGCTCGTGTTCTTTGTATTATTGTGAAGTGCATTGAGCTTTTTCTCACTGGAAATGTGCTATAAAAACAAAATGAGTTACTTCTCACAATCCACAAATGGAGATATTGGCCAAAAATGAACACTTGGGTCAAATTTCTAGGTTTTCTATTGATGCAATATTCATTAAGTATTAAATGCCTTTTGTTATTTCGTACTTTCAAATTGTAAAAACTTAACCTATCAGCTTGATGTAACTATTTCGTTAGGGCTCAAATCCGAGAAGTAACTCGTTTTGTCTGCACACTTCATATTTATAATTATTTATATTATTATGTCACATTTGTTGTTGCTTTTCTTTTACTGGCACCTGTGATGTAGCGGTAAGGTGATTTGCCGTGGCACACAGACATCATGGGTTGAAGTCCCACGTGGGATGGTTTTTTAATTAAGTTACTTCATCTGTTTGCTGGGATGTGGTGTCCCTCTCTCACTCAAGGTTGGCCCTGACAGGCAAGGTTGAAGTGGCCCACTTTCTGAACAACTTTAATTGTGTTGATGGCACTGTAAAACTCCTGCAGCTACAACTACAATTTTTATTCTTTTTAGTGTCTGATGAGTACCGGACTGGGTACTCCCCGCCTTCTTTGAATAAAACATATTTACTGTTTAAATATCTGCTTATGGAATATTGCCAGTATCATGCTCACATTCAGTGAAGTAAAACTCATGGACACTTGTCTGCCTTTAGTCACAACTGAGCAACTTTTTGGTTACGTTAGCAACAACATTATTTATGGAAATACTTCATCTTCTTCTTCTTCTTCTTTTGTGTTTCTTTGCTTTATTTCAGGAGTGACCATTCCATTTGTTCCTTTTTTATGAATATAATACATGCACTCTTTTAATTTTGCAATGGACCAACAGTTCATTCAAACTTTTGTTGAAATATTTTATATGCCGTAAGTATATCCTCCTTGTTTTTTACTTCTCAAATAAGTTAAAGCGACATTTTATTTTCAGACTGGCTGTGCGGCGGCAGAGGAGAGCAAGACTGGACTTTGATACTAAGTTAGGCATGAATTCTCCGTTCTGATTGCTTCCAACTTGGTGCAATCAATTAAAAGTTGGACCTCGCCAAACGGGAAAAAAGAACAGAAAATGGCAAGTAAATTGAAAGTGCTGAGTCCTGCCACGATGGGTTGGCTGTTACGCCAGAGAGACGGAGGACAAGAAATATTTGAGGAAAGGAAGGAAACAAGATGGCCAGCATCGACAGCCTTCATTCAAATACAGTTGAAATTGTCTAAGAAGAGGGCTACCTATTTTCTTGGAGAAAAGTGGACGTTTTAGACAGGTGGACGTCTCACACCGTGTCATTTTACTGTAAGAAATCAGATGCAAGAGGGGAAATGGGAAGTGGCTGTTGATGCAGATTATTGTCTTAGAAAGGTGACCGTTGGAGGATTTGACCGTTGGAGGAGGTTTGACCGTTGGAGGATTTGACCGTTGGAGGATTTGACTGTTGGAGGAGGTTTGACCGTTGGAGGAGGTTTGACCGTTGGAGGATTTGACCGTTGGAGGATTTGACCGTTGGAGGAGGTTTGACCGTTGGAGGATTTGACCGTTGGAGGAGGTTTGACTGTATTTCACAATTGTTATATGGCACATACTTTTCTCATTACCCTACCCCTCTAAAAGCATGGTGTGTTGGCCTTACTTGATCTGTGAATTATACACCAGTTATTGCCATACTTGGCCTGAACTTAGGTATCAACGACACTGTCAGTTATTTATAACTTTTTTTATACATCTTTTATGAATTAAAAAAAACGTGTACTCTTGCCTTCTGTTTCCTCACTGTCAAAAACTTGTGTGCACAGCTGTATTGTCAGCATGGATTCTGCTGACTGTAGAGAAGATGACATCACTGAGAAGAAATGTATGTCAAGGCCAATGCTTGTCAGCCTTTTGAAAGCCAACGCCCACTTTTGCCACATTTAAGAATTTCCGTACTTCCCTCCTATTTGTAGTTCCAAGTGGGGCAGCAGGTGGTATCTGTCACTACCCGGGCGACGGTCACCGCCCACCTAAATTACCAAATGGCTCTCCCGTGAGGGATGTCGTCCACGTCGGTAAACATCTGGTCTATACTGATAACAATGAGAAACTTGCCAAGAACACAAGTTGATGATGAATGAAGTTTAGTTCCAAGATAGTGTGAATAGACCCCAGTAAGACAGCTAGTCTTGAGGTCTATTGTATGAGATTCTGAAACATGTTTGTTGTGATATCTCTGTACGGTTTGTGGGCCGAAGAGCAAGACACAACTGCTGGACACTTACAGGCACAAGTAGACTCTTTCATGGGCTGGTGCCTCTATAAATAAATCTTTGATGGTCTGGTCTAGACTGTTTCACATTTTGCCTACGTTGTCATGTAGGTGTCAGAATCATCATTGAGTTGTGGCTTTAACAAAGTTCTTTCTACTTGTGCTCTTGAGTATCCAGATACAGTGGAAGTTGTCCAAGACACTCACCTACTATGGGAGAGAAAAGTGGTTGTCTTAGACAAGTGGACATCTTGGACAGTGTTATAATGTGTTTAAAAAAAGCGCAAGGATAGAAGTGAAATGGTCGTTTCTACGAGATGATTGTCTTGGGCAGATGGTCGTTACAGTAGGTTCAGCTGTAGTCATTTCATTGCACTTGCTACTAGGTTGTTGGGTTTTTCCCCAACTGTTCAAGTCCTGTTCTTGTTGATTTCACTTTGGTCTTCTCGCGGCAAAAGACTGTTGGTCGCGAGCATCTTCCTCTAACGTTATATAACGACTTACTCAAACTGTCGCGCATCTGTCTTTGACTCCTCATAGTTTACGGTGGAGAGTTTTAGCCGAGGTGTGTTACAGGGATTACGTTCTTCCTTTGTTTTACCTTTTTTGGGAGTTTTTTTCATTAAAAGATGAAAAGAACAATTATTATTCGAACTATTTGTTTTCTGATTTAAGTTTAACCCTGTATTAACTGTCTATTAACTGTTATTTTTTGTTGGGTTTTTTTTTTTTGCGAATGTGTGTTTCTTTATTTTCCCTGAATCCCAGTGACATCTCTGGTGTTGTCAAACTATCATAATTGTAAGCTGTTATGTGTGTGCAATACTTCTCTTGTCATACATGGAATCGGCATAATATGTTGATCACGTTCATTGAACTTGAAACGTATGTTTGCAGCATAATGAAGCCATCGCCTGCTTTGCTTGACTGTCAAGACCTCAGTGCGTAACTTAAGCTCTTGTTGATGTGATAGACTTCCCCGCTGTAAGTTTTGTGGGTGGTTGGCAGGTGCTCTGGTGTGGTTTGCTCCATCTTTCCTCTTAAACATCTATCGTCCTTATCTCTCCTCCTTCTTTTTTACGTTTGTTGTTACTCTCTTGTAACACCTCTAATCTTCGGCACTTATATGACCTTATTGTGTTGCAAGTGCCGTAAACTCTTTACTAAACTAAGTGAGTTTTGTGTGAAATGTTTTCTCATTTTTTAATGTAGTGGCTGAATGAAATAGTATTTGCAGGTATATGTTACGTGTTAAAAGCAGTGCCCTGACAAATATTTTGATTTAGAGAGCAAAAGTTTTTTTATGTTACAAAGATGTATATATACATTTGTTTGTGTGTGTGTACACATGCAGAGAGTATGGTGTGTGCGTGTGTGTGTGCGTGTGTGTGTTTGCAAGTGCATGTGTGTGTGTGTGTTTGCAAGTGCATGTGTGTGTGTGTGTGTGTGTGTGTAAACACGTGTGTGTACGTACTTGTGTGCATATTGTATAAAGGAGTAGAAATGATGATTTATCGCAGAAAAAGAATCTATATATATATTTATCTATGTGCTTTAGTATACTGTCATCGTGTGGATGGTTTGTCAAAAAGAATCTATATATATATATATATATATATCTATGTGCTTTAGTCTACTGTCATCGTGTGGATGGTTTGTCAAAAAGGATTTTTAAGGGAGTTTTTTTGCCTTTTGCTTTCGAAAAAAAAAACCACCAAAAAAACCCAAACAACTTCATGGTTCATATTGACAGTGACAGTGACAGTCGCAAATGTTGTGAGTGGGAAAGTACGACAGTCGAAGTTGTCCTAGACAGCCGCCCATTGTCGAAGAGAAAAGTGTGGGTTTGCTTAGTCAGGTGGACGTCTTCACAGTGGCAGTATGATATTTTTAAAATGTTCAAACGCAAGGTGGGAAGTGGTCATTTGGTCATTTGTACAGGCAACTGATTGTCTTGGACAGTTGCTGTTTGAGCATGTTATGCTGTTCTTTCAAGAACAGTCTGTAAATTAAATGTCAAAGTCAGCAGGTAGAAAACAGATTTACGCGTACGCTTCAACTTCTTCCTTCGTAATTTTGCCTCGGTAAACCTGTGCTACTTTGAGACGTTATGCAAAAGGTTTCCAAGGGTTTCCAAGGGTTTTAAGACAAAAAAATCATCATTTGCATTTAACTTGACCTATTTTCTGACTGACGTGGTTTGCGACTAACTGTTACCGTCGATCATACACCTAACTGCTTAGATGACCTATCTGAGTTTGCGTTTATCTTGACTGGTCCCTTTTAAAGCTTTCTCTCATCATAAATGCCATGTATGTTCTAAAGACTAGATATTTTTTCATGACATTTCTCTGTACTGTAATTCTATTTTCTACTGTGTTGTTTTGAAACCTCTTACCAGTTGCCATCTACTTAATGTCCCTGCATTCCCTCAATGTTTCCGTGGACTTTCATGTCAAAGATTGTACATTATTGTAATGTAACAAATACTGTCGATTGCTTTTTGAGCTTCAAAGGTTGAAAAAGACCTTTTTTTTGTGTCAATTTATGAGGCAATGAGTCATGTTATTTTACAAGTATGAGATTGTCATAGGAATGGCTGGAAGCAAGACTCTCATGGAAACCATTTGCATCTTGCTTTTGTCCGAGTTTTGCACCTAGTCATCGATAATTTTTTTAAAAAAATGTTTTTGGAGTTGTTGGGTTTTGTTGAAGGTTTTTTTTTGGGGGGGGGGGATTTTTTTTTAAATTTGAATTTTATTGTTGTTGTTTTGTTCTTTCTATCATTGTGTGGGTATATGAACAAACCATTGGTTGTCGGTGAGATTTATCCAACTAGTCCCTGATTGAGATTGAGATGAACTAGTCGCGGCACATCATTTATCGCAACGTGCAAGCTGCTTTACCTTGCAGGTCTGACATGTTTTCCTCACCTCCCATAACTGTAAGTGTCCTTGACGTGGCATAATGTGGCACAGTAACACATGAAGATCAGTCTGATCCGCCTTTTCCATACTCGCCACATACTGATTTCATATATTCTAAATAGTTGTGAATCGAAAGAATGGAAATGATTCATATGAACAAAGGAAAGAAAGGCAACAGTCATCAATATTTTCCCTGAAACAAATATCGCGGCCCTCCCCCACCCCTGAAGTCTTCATTTGTTAAGTGTATTTGTTCATATCATGCAATGTTTTTTAGCGATACCAGTGAGGAGGCAGAACTGAAACTTTTCTAACGTCTTTGTAAGTCGAAAGATACGTATGTTGTCAGTTGTATTGTTTAGAGGTGATATTGTTTTTGGATGGAGACGTATTTGTCCTGTCGTCTGTAGTTTGTCAAACAGTCTTCACCTTTTTATCCCAGAAGTATTCTCTTCTTTTCTTCCTACTTTCGACATTTACATACAGTGGACTTTGCTTTAAGTGAAGGGGAAAAATGTCTCATTGAAACCAATCTTTCTAAACTGCAGCTCAGGAGATCATCACAAGAAGTTCAGGGCAGTCACTATACTATATAGGACTTAATGGAGTTGCATTAGGGTAGAGTGGGCCCCATTGCGTTGATGGTTCAAATTGGTGCAGAATAGCGCATGTTGCTTTGTGTCACAGAAGGAAGGAATGACTCAATCACTATGTTATTTGTTTGCAGCCATTGTTGTGTAAAAAGATAGAAAAGTGACAAATCAGGGATTATTTTTAATAATCTGGTTTTTTTATGCATGTCTCCCTAAAATCATGGAAGCGAAGTTCACTGTTCGTGCTTCATTCTCTAATCCGGCTCTCACACACACACATACTTTTTGACTGACACAGCAGATATGCTTCGTACATTCCAGAAATTTCCTTCAGCAGGTGTTTGAGAAAATGTTTTGGGTACTGAATCAGGACAGGCTTGTCTGTTGATGAGAGATTTTGTTGTCAATCCCACCCCAGCCTTTGGAAGAAAACAAGTAAGTCTTTGTTGATACAAATAAAACAAGTAAGTCTTTGTTGATACAAAGAAAACAAGTAAGTCTTTGTTGATTAAATCTTTGTTGATACAAATAAAACAAGTAAGTCTTTGTTGATTAAATCTTTGTTGATACAAATAAAACAAGTAAGTCTATGTTGATTAAGTCTTTGTTGATACAAATAAAACAAGTAAGTCTATGTTGATACAAATAAAACAAGTAAGTCTATGTTGATTAAATCTTTGTTGATACAAATAAAACAAGTAAGTCTATGTTGATACAAATAAAACAAGTAAGTCTCTGTTGATTAAATCTTTGTTGATACAAATGTTTTCTTTTGGGTTTTGTTTCAGATTTAATTTATTCTTGTGTACTGTAGGAGAACTTTGGCGTCTGCGATGTTAAGGATATGTCCTTTGGCCTTGTGTCGAAAAGATAGAGAGAAATCAGACATATTTTTTGCTATGACTTCAACGCTTCAACTAACATATTTGTGAGGCAGCGTGGTGGAATCAGGCTCTCGTCAATTTTTGGGCATGTTGAGTTATTGGTATCATCTTAAAGCTTGTTCACTTGTCTTAATTTGAATTTGGTTGAAAAAAATATCGATTTATCTTGAATACAAGTCGAGATATTTGTGAATGAAGAATGTGGGCGGGGGTCACCTCTTCTGTAAAGATTTCTCAGTGTAGTCAGGGAACAGAAGACTTACTTCTTCTTCTTTGCCTGATGGGCAAAAGACTTCTACTACAGATGATCTGTTGTCTAATACAGTGTGATGTTTTTTATGATGCAATGCTGTTGCCTTAGCTCTTTTTGGGCTTTCTGCTAGGTTCACTCCACTGGATGCTCAGGAGTGCATTGAGTGCCCAGCTCTTTAAAGGCAAAGCAATTGTAACTGCACGTATCATGATTTGGATAAAACTGTGCTAGATCAAGTGTTCATGCTTATAATTTAAATCAGTCTCTTTGATAGCTTAACCAGTTTTGAAAACTGCTTGATGTATATTGGATATAGATTCATCGACCTGCTTTTGACACTACACGAGAAAGATATGGGCAAGACTAGTGTAAAAAAAAAAAGTGGATAAAACAAAAATATTCAATAATCTCTGATGTTCACTCTGCCTTGTAACTGGCATTTGGTGAAGGTAAAGTACACTCAAACATGTGCTTCGGTACATAGGGATACTTACTTACTTACTTACTTTACTTTTCCGATCCAGCGGCCATTTGGGTTCTAGCCCTTCGGTCTGTGGTACATAGGGATAAGGTAAATGTCTTGTATAAAGTAGAGATATACTCAGAATATTTTAATACTTTGCATTCTGTTGCTGATTTATGTCATACACGTATCATTTTTCTTTAGGGTCAACCAATAAAATGGGGACAGACAGAGTTCCTCATTGTGTGACAGCGATGATGTTCTAGTTCTGTCAAACTTATCCCAGACCCTCACCCATTGTGGAGCAGAATACGGCTGTAAGCTGACAAAACACCTTTTTCCATTTTAGCGCCAAAATTTTGTATTTGTTAAATCGAAAGTCTGATTAGTTACCCTAATTGGGTGAGAAAAAAATCAAAGTGAAACTGTGACTAGTTTTTGAATGAATTAGAATTGAAATTTCAGAATGACTCTATTTTTCAATGGTTACGCTGAGAAAAAAATCTGTTTTTCTCGATTTAA